TCCTGCGAGCCCTAAGAGGGCCCCCCTTCAAGCCGCTCAGTTCGGCTGATTTGTGGCTCTTATTGCTTTAAACGGCCCTCCTCCTTGCCTTGGCGTCAGTTAAGCGAAGTGGGTGACTTGCAAGCTCTGTCAATCAGCGCCTCATGTCTTAAGTTTGGGACTAATGACTGTAAAGTCATTCTAAAGCCAAGACATGGTTATGTTCCTAAAGTGCTCTCAACTCCGTTCAGAGCTCAGGTGATCTCCCTATTGGCGCTTCCCGTTACAGATGGTGAGCAGGGTCTGAACATGCTCTGCCCAGTAAGGGCTCTGAGAGTATACCTAGAGCACACTAGCCTGTTTAGACAGTCAGAGCAGTTTTTGTTTGCTTTGGAGGCCGCCATAAAGGACTGCTGGCCACAAGGCAGCGAATTTCTCGCTGGATCGTTGATGCGATAGCCTTGGCTTATGCCTCAGAAGGCTTGCAGTGCCCTATAGGTGTGAGGGCCCATTCCACAAGAGGGATGGCCTCCTCCTGGGCATGGTCCAGCGGAATTTCTATTGGTGAGATCTGTGCGACCGCCGGCTGGTCATCGCCATCCACATTTGCCAGATTCTATAACTTAGATGTTCCTGCTTTACAGGTGCGAGTTCTTTTAGTTTAATGTACCACTCTTCCCCCTTGGGCGAAGCTGGTTATATTAGTGCTTCTCAGCTACTAGCTTGGGGCATAATGTGCTCATGTTCTCAGTGGTCCTTATTAGTGCGCCGAGACTGGGCTCGCAGAGCAGGATGTCCTGTATCGACTCATAGCGCGGCGTGATTGGATGTGTTCCCCTTAGCGTCTCACGCAACTGGAGAGACCGTTGTGTCACTTGCCACGCTATAAGCTGCACACAAATCGATGACTGTCGCTTCAGTCGCATGATCTGATGAATGGCGCTCTGAGCCAACTTGTATAAGGGTTGGGTCTGTCCTTTTTGACGGGCTAAAGCACTATTGGTTTGTGCAGCTACACAAACGTGAACAAATCAGACTTCAGTACAGAGTAAAACAGGACTTTTCCCCTTAGCGTCTCACGCAACGCTCGTTCCCTTATCTCAGGGAACCGAGGTTACGTTAGTAACCGGAGCATTTCATTCAACAGAAATGTCTAAAAGTGGTCCAAATGACTTTTGCTCTATATTCCATGTCTTCTGATGCCACACAATGGTTTTCATTCATTAATTCGTTCATTCAGCAGGGGAGAGCAGGGCACAACGTATCACTTTTTGACTTTCTCAGTTTGTGTAAATCCACATGGTGCTCAGAATATAATTTTTCATCCACAGTAATTTCACACTTGTCTAGTACAAATATGTCACTTTGTTTCATAATTACAGTTTATACATTTTTAAGCTTGTTAAGACAGTAGAGAGCAACGACAGGAAAGCACTGGGAGGAGAGAGGGAGCAGGATTGGGAAAGGACCTTGAGACGGGACTTGAACTCAGGTCGCCGTGAGCGCAGTTGCGCTGTATGTTGACACACTAACCACGAGGCTATTGGTGCCGACATCAATTTGCATTCTCACTAAGCCCACCTTCAGAAACATATGTTTTTGTTATTGCTCACTCTTTATTTTCTGTTTCTACATAATTCGTTTTTTATTACAAATTTCATAGTTTACTATTATTTATTTTTAAAACCATATAACCATGGTAATGAGGACCATGGTTTTACTTCTTGTGACCACAATCTTACTAATAGGCCTACTAGTCAGTTAAACTCTGTATTCTAAGCAAGGACTTCTTTCTCTTTACATGTTTAGTTTAGTTTAGATGTTTAGTTACATAATGTCATTCTGTGGAACACAGAATTTTTTGTCCATACAGTAGAAATCAAGGGTGACCAAAATGGTTTGGTAACATTCTACAAAATATCTTTTGTGTTCCACTAACAGTTGAAGGGGTGTGTTTAAGCATATTCTGCCCAAGCCGTCAAACTGACGTCATCAGAGAAGGAATGCCATTCCAGAGTGGAAGCAAATGTTCGGATTATGATAAAAAAATTAACAAGACAAATTTTTTTTTTCAGCGGATTATCTATCTTGCACTGATTAATTGTTCACATCAAGACTTGCCATTTGCGCTAGTAAAATAAATAAAGACAATTTTGATTTCATGCGGACTTTAAGTCATACAGGTTTGGAATGACATGAGGGCGAGGAAATTATCACAGAATTTATTAGCAAAATCAATGCTTTACTGTCAAGTGCATTTCTATGTGACAAAAATGCATTATTAAGTTTGTTGCATTTGCTGTGAATTCAGTAATATCTGTCATTGTTTGTTTCTGTCCTGTTTTATTTCTCACGCAACGCTCGTTCCCTTATCTCAGGGAACCGAGGTTACGTTAGTAACCGGAGCATTTCATTCAACAGAAATGTCTAAAAGTGGTCCAAATGACTTTTGCTCTATATTCCATGTCTTCTGATGCCACACAATGGTTTTCATTCATTAATTCGTTCATTCAGTAGGGGAGAGCAGGGCACAACGTATCACTTTTTGACTTTCTCAGTTTGTGTAAATCTACATGGTGCTCAGAATATAATTTTTCATCCACAGTAATTTCACACTTGTCTAGTACAAATATGTCACTTTGTTTCATAATTACAGTTTATACATTTTTAAGCTTGTTAAGACAGTAGAGAGCAACGACAGGAAAGCATTGGGAGGAGAGAGGGAGCAGGATTGGGAAAGGACCTTGAGACGGGACTTGAACTCAGGTCGCCGTGAGCGCAGTTGCGCTGTATGTTGACACACTAACCACGAGGCTATTGGTGCCAACATCAATTTGCATTCTCACTAAGCCCACCTTCAGAAACATATGTTTTTGTTATTGCTCACTCTTTATTTTCTGTTTCTACATAATTCGTTTTTTATTACAAATTTCATAGTTTACTATTATTTATTTTTAAAACCATATAACCATGGTAATGAGGACCATGGTTTTACTTGTGACCACAATCTTACTAATAGGCCTACTAGTCAGTTAAACTCTGTATTCTAAGCAAGGACTTCTTTCTCTTTACATGTTTAGTTTAGTTTAGATGTTTAGTTACATAATGTCATTCTGTGGAACACAGAAATTTTTGTCCATACAGTAGAAATCAAGGGTGACCAAAATGGTTTGGTAACATTCTACAAAATATCTTTTGTGTTCCACTAACAGTTGAAGGGGTGTGTTTAAGCATATTCTGCCCAAGCCGTCAAACTGACGTCATCAGAGAAGGAATGCCATTCCAGAGTGGAAGCAAATGTTCGGATTATGATAAAAAAATTAACAAGACAAATTTTTTTTTTTCAGCGGATTATCTATCTTGCACTGATTAATTGTTCACATCAAGACTTGCCATTTGCGCTAGTAAAATAAATAAAGACAATTTTGATTTCATGCGGACTTTAAGTCATACAGGTTTGGAATGACATGAGGGCGAGGAAATTATCACAGAATTTATTAGCAATAAATTTCCTGCATTCTAGCTCAAAATCAATGCTTTACTGTCAAGTGCATTTCTATGTGACAAAAATGCATTATTAAGTTTGTTGCATTTGCTGTGAATTCAGTAATATCTGTCATTGTTTGTTTCTGTCCTGTTTTATTTATTCATTTATTTACTCCAATTGAAGGCCCTATAACCCAGCAAAACATTCACAGGGGAACTCGTGGACTGGATGGGCTGGATTTTTCCACGGCAGAATTTTAACCCCAGTGTTAGATTTTGCTGTATTTGGCTGAGCAGTGGTTTGGGTGGCTCGCCAATGCATTAGATTTCTCTAATACATAAAATAAGTAAGCTTGACCAGAGTTCTTGTTGGGAGAAGAATTTATTGAAGGTAGCAGTGTAGCAGGGCTTTAACAGTGATGTTAGCTTGTCGGTCTTCAAAATATCTTAACCCTTGTAAGACTCCTAGCTTCTCCCAGAGTTCTGTCTGTGAGACAGAACTTTATACTTAAAGACAAAAGGGCTACACAAACAAAAGATACTGTTAGGACCTCCCGCTGGAGATCCTGTTCTCTACAAGAAGTTCCTGAGGAGTACTGTTCTTTTGTTATTCTAAATGTATGGACCATTTGGTTCACACCTTTACAAGACAGTTCCTGTTGATTGCATAGGGCACAGTCATAATGTAAATGCATCTGACTAAAGATACACATAATCTTTCACCAGTCCAGACCTGGGTACAGACATCCATTGTGGGCGTTCTTGGCAGTTTTTCCAAGGCTTTTGTAAAAATATTGTTCATATTGATATCGGAATTATATCGTATTGCCCGAAATTAAGAGATTTATCGTGATATAAATTTTGGTAATTTCGTCCAGCCCTAGTCTCAGTTTGTTCTGTTTCTTCATGTCATTCCAGACAGACTGGATGATGATGAGATCAGATCTCTGTGTGGCGCACTGGCTGTTGTCAGACTCCTTGTGCAAGAAAAAAATCACTCTGGATTATTACAATTAATGGCAAAATCAATGTTTGGAAATGTAAACTGATATTTCCTACTAACACAATACAGCAAAAGATATAAATAACTGACTTTAAACCATTTTTTGTTGGTGAAAATACTAGTGGCATAAGACTTTTTCACAGTACTATATATAGAGAGAGTAAATTAATAGAATATACAGTAAATGACACAATGATCATTTTTGGGTAAACTATCCAACCAATAATCTAATTCGATGTCATGATTGCATTGTTGATATTAGTACCTGGGGCCGGTTGCATAAAAGGTTAAGACTAGTCTTAAAAGTTAGTCAGCTATTTTTTTTATTTAAGACCAGTCATATATTTTTTAATTCAGTTACATAAAAATGTAGATTAGTCTTGAATCCAAAAAATAAGACTGATTACCCCATGGCTAACTACTAGTTTGTCAGACTAGTTCTTAAGTCACTGTCTTAACATAGAGGCTAACTTTATGCAACTGGCCCCTGATGTTAGCATTATTCTTTTTGTGAATATGTTTCGTTTTTTAGGTTACTGTGAGTGACCACGATGGATCTCCAGCCCATAATACTCCTGTTAAAATCAGCTTTCTTGAAAACCCAATCACCGTACACAGCGGGACCATCAAAGTCTCCATCAACTTGCCTGTGAAGTACAGCTCAACGATACTGAAAGTAAGTCACTCACAGAAACACATAAAGAAACAATACAAAGTTGTGTTATACCTGTCAGTTGAATATACTGTATGTATGCTTATATAGGTGGAGACAGCAGATCCTTCACTGAAACCAGAACAGCAGGCTGTTCAAGAGATGCGTGTGGAGTCATATGTCTCTTTTATCGGCTACAGGAACTACCTGCACATCTCAGTGGGCAACAGTCCAGTGGTGGTGGGCAGCACACTCAACATCCAAGCTCACATCAAATCTAGCCCACCAGAACGAAGAAAACTTGTGGAGCAGCTGACGTATGCTGTGAGTTTGTCTCTGGGGGCATTTTGGGATATTATGAGAATGACTGGAATCTCTGTATTAAATACACTGATGATTGTTTCTGTAGGTGTTAAGTAAAGGAAACATAATCCACGCTGCTAGGATAAATGTCAAAGACCTGGTCGTCATAAACATTCCTCTGCTGATTACCTCAGAAATGCTACCTGCGTTTCGCTTTGTGGCCTTCTACATTTTGCCATGGCAGCATAGTCCAGACGTGGTGGCAGACTCTGTGTTTGTGGATGTGGAGGACCGGTGTGTTGGTTCGGTGAGTTCATGCTACGACCTTGACCAATTATTAACAGGAAAGATGCACATTCTAGAGCTTTATGGTACATTTGGGGGCCAAAAACAGAATTATTATTCAAATTCTTCTTCTTCTCCTACCATGAGAGTCTAATCTTGGCCTTATTATATAGCAGCCAATTTGAATTTTGTTAAAAACACATGTACATTAGTCTTTTGCCCAATTATTTTACATGTTTTTGATAAGACAAATTCAGAGGGTTTAAAAAAGAGAATTACAAAAATGTAAAGAGAAGAAATAAAGTTTCTAAATGTTACCATGCAGATTAAAATAAATTATAATATTTTTATTCAACAAGGATGCATTAAGGTGAAATCTGTATTTATGATTTGTATTAGCTCAGTATAGGTCCAGTGGAGGAAGAAAAACTCAATTCGTACTCACCAGGCAGCAGCATTACATTTGAAGTGAAAGGAGACCCAGGGGCAAAGGTCAGCCTGGGAGATGTTCTTGAGGGTGAACTTGACCTACAACATCCACATTCCATTCGCCGTTCTTGGTTTCCAACTAGTTGATTGCTGGGACGAAATGTTCATCCTCTTCATTGCGATTGTGACTGTAATCTTGCACTCAGTCTAGTTCAAAAGGCCTCATTTTACCAATCCAGTCAACTCCCATAGAAGAGCCATTTTTGGTTTCCCAAAGAACCTTTCAACGAACAGATCCATTCCTAAAAGATCCATTTATTTCTTAGTGTGAAGAACATTTAAAAAATTCGAAGAACCTTTTTCAACTATAAAGAACGTTTTGTGCTTTGGAAAGATTTTATGGATGTTAAAGGTTCTTCGTGGAACCATCAATGCGTGAAAACCTTCAATTTCAAGAGTGCATTTTCTTTGGTTTGTTTGGAATAGATTGTTCCAGTAGATCTAGAAGAAGACGTTCTCCTGCCAAACTGCAGCTTAGAGAGCAACTTGGTAAGTCTCTGTCATTATTACATAAGAAATCCTTTAAAAGTTTGGTATGTTACAGTTTGTTAGAGAAACGGTGATATGAAAGTGTTAACAAAAGCTCTAGTGAAATGTAAGCTAATATGCTAAGTCATCCTAAACACGTTCTTTTCTCTCAGAGAAGGCGTATTCTGACGAGTTCCTGCAGAGATGTTGTGTGGACGGCATGAGGGAGATTTCCATGCCGTATTCCTGCTACCGTCGCTCCCTCTACATCACCGAGGACTGGAGCTGTGTGTTGGCTTTCCTTCGCTGTTGTGCGGAGTACAGAGGGGAGGAGCTCGCTGTCGTTACCAGACCCCCGACAACCACCCCTCCACCAACCACCACCCCTGTACACACCACCACCAAGCTACTTTCTTACCGGCGTTATGTTTATCACTATCCTTCAAAAACTATTGTCAGCGAACCTTCGACCCATTTTGAGCGCATCCACACACCTGAGATTGCAGTACGTGAGAACAGTCATGCTGACAAGATGAAAGAAGAAGAAGAGGAGGTGGAAGAGTTCGATGAAGATGATTTAGCTGACTTAGAGGACATTTACGTGCGCAGCAAGTTCTTCGAGTCGTGGCTGTGGACTGACATTAGATTACCCAATGTCACCAAGTCTGATGGGTAGGCGTTTGACCTTTGACTCAGTATAGATGTCTCACTTTTATCATGTTCAGTGATGCAAGTGTCTCTCCATGCTTTAATTCCAGGTTGGCTGTATTTCCAGTAAACACTGTTCTTCCTGACAGCATCACTCAGTGGGGGTTTCTAGCCGTCAGTGCTTCACCTCAGACAGGTAAACAAACAGCTCTGTCCTTTTGTCCATCTGACAGAGCTTCTTTGTAGAAGAATCCAAACTCTTTTTCTAGTTCAGCCAACAATAAAGCACATTTGCTGCTGTACGACAGTTAAGAAAAGAATACAGCCAAAATTGGTTTTACAAACGAAACAGATCATTTTTATGTTTAAGTGTCCAATAACTGATATGCAAAATCAATTTTAAATGATTTTATTTCTGTCACAATGATAAATAAATAATTACAATCAAAAGATATGAGTTGTGAATATTTTTTTATTTATTTAGCTTTTACTGCCAAGTATCAAGCATTTCTGCATATGAATTACAAATTAATATAATTAAATTTTTTAGCTTTTAATGCTGTGTTTAATGAATTACATATTTTTAATAATATTTATTTAGCTTTTAATGCTGCATGTGAAGTATATCTGCATATGAATTACAAATATTCTATTAATTATCTTTTAATGCTATATGTCAAGCATTTCTGCATATGGCTTATAATATTTTTTATTAATAGTCACTAGTGTTTAAAAAGTGCTTATTACAAATATTAAAAACAACATAGACAAAAATAAATAAAATAAATAAAGTATTGCATTTGGCTATATAATTTTAGTAGATTTAATTAGCTGTCTAAAACATGAGAACTAGCAAAAAATCAGGAACAAAAACTAAACTTTTCTGTTTTCTTTTCAGGTTTCTGTGTAGCTGAACCGTATAACGTCCGGGCGTGGAAGCCGTTTTTCATAGATCTGCGGCTACCTCACTCAGTGTCCAGAAATGAACATGTGGAAATCAAAGCTGTGGTCCACAACTACAGGAACTCAAAACTGGAGGTCAGTTTCACACTATCACAAAACGCTCTGGTTACTCACGTAACCTTGGTTCCCTGAGATAAAGGAACGAGCGTTGTGTCGCTTTGATGCTTATGAGGAAACTACTGTTTACTCAGTTACTGAAGCTTTATTTGTTCACGTTTGTGTAGCTGCACAAACCCACCAGAAGGGGAGGACCCGACTGCTATATAAGTTGTCTCAGAGCGCCATTTCATCAGAATCTTTCGACTGAAGTGACAGTCACTCATTAGCGTGCAGCCTTAAAGCACAGCAACTTATGAAACATTCGTTCCCTTGTCTCAGGGAAGCAAGGTTACATTTTTAACCAGAGTGTTCCTTATCGAACGGTCTCTCCCGTTGCGTTGTTTTAACACTTATGTAGAAAGCCAGCGGCCACACAAATCTCACCAATAGAATCTCACCAACCACTGCAAGCCTGTTGAGGCATAAGCCAAGGCTATAGCATCCACTATCCAGCTAGATGTAAACTGAAGCACATAGGAGCGTTTGAAAGCCGCGTCTATCAGTGGATCCCTAATATATCTGAGAGACGGATATAGACGGATCCCCGCTGATAGGCACGGCTTTCAAACGCTCCTATGTGCTTCTGTGTGAGTGCTTGTGAAGAGTGTGAAGCGATGATCATTGTAGCCAACTATGGCTAATCAGTTGTGTTTAAGAATCTGCTCAACAGTGCTCAAATGTTATCGGGAAATGGACGTTTGGACGAAGAGAGAAGGTAAACAGTCTTTAACCAATGTAGCGTCTAGACCAATCAGACACACAATTTTTGTTATATTTAACAAATACTCTGTAACACCCCTCAATCAACAAGCCAATTATGAGGGTCTATGGACCCTTCCTCCGAAATTCGGCTAACGCCTCAAAAAGGCAGAACAGGCCTCTGGTTCCATGGCAACCAATGCTGATAACACTGGTTTTATTGCCCAAAGGAATGCGGGCAGAGCAACTCTCACTATCTTTTACCCATAGGAAAGACACACAATGCCATATAAATGGACTCTCATTCACAGACAAACCTTTCTTTGACCTTCCTATCACATATGCTCAGGTTAGCTGATGGCAATTTAATTCTGCTACAGTTACTACTGGCAGCTGATATAAATAAATGTTATTAATCATAATTAATTGTAATTATTTATATACATTTCCCTTATGAGCTAATTTGCTACACCAAGTACGTTGGAATAGGATCCAAGCGACGAGTAGTAGATTTAGATTTGTGAATACAATTGACTACTTCCTCTGTGCTCGGAAGTTTAAAAGTGGAAAGAGTAGAAATAAGAGGTTGGTCAGAACAAACGAGGCTGACCTCGTTAGCATCCCTGATCTCTGTTAAATTTAGCCAAAGGTGGCACTCTCACAGGTGGCACCAGCTGATGTAGTCCTGCAGGGCTTAGATGGATGCGCTGCATGGGCTTTCAACCCCAGGGCCGATGGAGGGCACAGATGAGCAGCTATCGCCATTTCCAGAGGGAGGAGCTTGCTATGACCTCTCTCTTCAGCGCTGTCAACAGTGGTGAGAGCGGTAGAATTAGAGGGATTAACACAGACCGAGCAGGAACGAAGACGATTGTTGATGGCATCCCTTCAGGTACCACTCGTCAAGGAGGCTATGGGCAGGCTCTTCCGGAGCTGACCAAGCGAGGCCGAGATCCTCCACAGCCTTTGCCAGAATGTGTCAGCAGCGATCTCCTCCTCAGAAGGTCCAAAGGATATCAAGCCGCTCACAGCTGACGAGGGGCGTTAATCCTCATGTGTTAAGCACACCGGCGAATCATAAAATGGTGCTCTGAGTCGACTTATTATAGAGATATTGGCTCCTCACCTTCTGGTGGGTTAGAGTGCAACTGGTTTGTGTAGCTACACAAAAGTGAACAAATCAGGCTTTAATAACAGAGTAAACAGGAGTTTCCCCATAAGCGCCAAAGCGAAACAACGTTGCTTTAGTTTATTCATGTCCTGACCTAAACACTGTGTTTGCAGGTCATGGTGATTCTGGAGAAGACAGAGGACATGTGCAGCGTAGCATTTAGTGGACAGCACAGACAGCAGGTTTCGGTACCGGCCGGCTCCTCCAAGCTGATTTCCTACACCATCATCCCTCTTAAAACAGGAGAGCTCCCTCTACAGGTCACAGCCGTCGCAGCCTCCTTCATGGGGCAGGATGCAGTGAGGAAGAATCTGCGTGTGGTAGTAAGTGAGCTCCTAAAACCTGCTCTCTCTCAAGCCTCACGCATAATATTGAAAATATATTATATTAGATATGTTGCTTGGTGCATGTTGTGTGTTTTTTTAAATTAAGTTCGTGCAATAACTGTGTGGTAATGTTATATGACGATAAATCTTGTGTTTTAGGTCGAAGGCATCCAGACAATTAAAGTGAGGAGCTTTGTGCTGAACCCCTCTGAGAAAGGAGACAGCGGTAAGACTTGCTGTAAATTTTACTTTAATTGTGATTAATGTAATGGCAATTTAAGAATCAAGGTCTTGGTCTTGCCTTTGTAATATAACACTTTATGCTTTTTTCAATTTGTAACAATTTTACACAATATAAATGGGTCTTTATGCATGAAAATTATATATAATGAAATATAATTATCTTTGCGATATTACATTTCACACTTTTTTCAGAGTTTTACACATCTCATATGGGGCTTGATGCATGAAAACTATACATTAAATAAAACTTTTATGCATTTAAAAACACATGCATATAAAACTTATGCATAAAATGCTATGTGTTATCATTTGTATTATGTTATAGTAGTAATCATAATAATAATAATAATAATGCATTTAATTTATAAAGTACTTTTCTCAAACTCAAAAGCACAACAGTACAAAGAATCTTATAATAAAACATAAAATACAGTACAATAATACAAATATAAATTGAAAACCAACTAAAATTTGCATATTTAAAAGGTTAAGTCCTTAGAGACCTCTTAAAACAAGCCAACACTGGGGAATTTTTATATTTATTTTGTTATATATATTTGTTTATATATTTGTTGTTGTTTTCTTATCTTAGCTGGTAGACAGCAGATAGAAGTGGAGAAGATGCAGTTGGACGCCGTTGTGCCAAAATCTCTGCCGGAGACATTTGTCAGTGTCAGAGGTTTGACATTTTATTAAGCCATATTCATAACATCATAGTAATTGAGTATTATCCCTCAATTACATTATGGATATTTGATTGTCATGTTAATATGTCGACTGTCAAGAGTTTCCCAGTTTGTTTTTTAAATGTCATTTCTTCAGGTGATTTGCTGGCAGACAGCATTGATAACTCTATTAAGGAGGACTCTCTGGCAGCGTTGATCCGGATGCCCGGCGGGTGTGTGGAGCAGAACCTGGCCAGAATCACTCTGCCCCTCATTGCCGCCCATTACCTGGACCGCAGTGGAAACTGGGACGCTGTGGGAATAGATCGCAGACAAGAGGCCATCAAATACATCCAGACAGGTGCAATGAGACTCAAATAGGGATGAACATCACCACTACTTTAGATATTGACAAAATAAATGGTCTTTTAACTTTTTTCATACTCAGGGTATGAAAATCAACTTAATTACCGGAAAAAGGATGACTCGTACCCTCCCTACGCCAAAGAAGGCACCAGCACATGGTATTAATGCCGTTACATCACTGATTACAGCTTCACCTTGAACATTTACACTTACATTTACATTTAGTCATTTAGCAGATGCTTTTATCCAAAGTGACTTACAAATGAGGACAATGGAAGCAATCAAAATCAACAAAAGAGCAATGATATACATGTGCTATAACAAGTCTCAGTTAGCTTAACGCAGTACACGTAGCAAGGTTTTTTTTAAATAATATAATAAATAAAAAGAAAACGGAGAATAGAAAAAGAATAGAGCAAGCTAGTGTTAGATGTCTTTTTTGCTTTTGTTAATTGTATAATAAATGAAAAGAAAACAGATAGAATACAAAAAGATTAGAAAGCAAGTGTTTTTTTTTAAAGAAAAGAAAATGAATAGAGTGCAAGTCTAAAAGGGAAAAGTGTTTTTTTAAAGAATAGAATTAGTATAGAGAGTGCTAGAGTTAGAGGGTCAAATAAATATGGAAGAGATGTGATTTTAGCCAATTCTTGAAGATGGCTAAGGACTCAGCTGCTCGGATTGAGTTGGGCAGGTCATTCCACCAGGAGGGAACATTTAATTTAAAAGTATACATTTCCCTGTAGAGTTCATCTGTTTTATGTTCTGTCCATCTCAGGATCACTGCATATGTGGTGAAGGTTTTCTCCATGGCAAAATCATTTATTAGCATCAATGAGAAGCATCTGTGTGGCCCTCTGGTGTACCTGCTCAAGAATAAACAGCATCCTGATGGATCCTTTCAGGAGGACAATCCTGTCTACGACACCAGTATGATGGTGAGAGTTCATGACTGTGATTGCATTAATTGGAGTAGTTACATAACAATCAATGAAAGGGTATAGTATTTACACGTGTCTTATGTATGTTGTGTTGTGATACAGGGAGGCCTCCGCGGTTCTGAATCCAGAGTGTCTCTGACCGCATTCGTGATAATTGCTTTGGCAGAGGCACAAAATGCTGTTACCTGCCAAGAGCCAGGCCTCAACATACAGGTAACTTCCCTACTACACTGCTAAAAAACCTGTGAATTAAACAGTAGCTACATTAAATAATCTGGACAATAGCTAAATTAAATAATTAGAAAACTAAATTTAATAAATATGGACAGAAGCTAAATTAAATAATGAAAAAATAGCTAAAATAAAAAATTGGGACTAGGGGTATAACGATTCTCTCGTTTTCTCAATGCATCGATTACAAACCCTGACAATGCATCGAATGAATCGCGATTTCTATAGCGATTCAATGCTTTCAAAGTATATACACATTAAATTACTACAAGCACGAATAATGGAGACCTTTTACAGTGTTCGTGCCTCGCATCTCTCCTTCACGCGCTCCACTATTTGCCGCCTGCAGTGACTGTCACGGGATTGCGCTCGCGCTCAGTTCGTCTCACTGACACATTTTTTGAGCAGCTGATGTGTGATCTCTCCTTAGTACTCGTGGCCAGTAATGCTAAAGTGAAGTAGTTTTACTTTTCTGTAGTTTTTCAATGGCTCTCGGTCATATCGACGACATTACCTGTACAGTCGAAGGCTGCGCATTTATTTCATGGACGACGGACCAAAAATGTAAATGTCTAAAGCACACGCACAGTTCCATTGAATGAGAAATGTGTTTTAACAATGTTGTTAAACCGAACGTATTAAGACGTCCCAGGAAATGCCTAATATGAACAAAGACATTTATGGCTGCAGCAAAGCTGAATAAAAAGCAGAATGAACTGAAACGTTAAGACAATAAACACAATAAATAAATAAAATGTATGAATGATGCAGTGCTAATTGACATATCATTTATTACAGTACAGAAACTACAAAGTATATTTTCTACCTTATTCTGTGCAGAAAATTTTAATAATTGTTTGTAGTATATAAAACAATCATAAAATTGCCATTAGGAAAAAAATATAGATTATAAATGATTGATTATTGTCCAGAAGTGTATTTGATTTATTATAGCAAATTCAAAGTAAGAGAGAAGAAAATAATTCCTTGTAAAAAAATAAAAAATAAAATAACAATACATACATAAATACAATTATTGTATTTGACATTTCTGTCACTTCTGAAATGATGGCTACGCCCCTGGTGTGACAAAATGTTAGCCTATACATAATACTTTTAAAGCTCGTTAAAATCTTGGCTTATATAAATTTCTAAATATGCCATGTCATGCCATAGCATCATTAAACTAGCATCTAACAATGGACAAAAGTGTTTTTTTCTCTAATCTATGGTTCTGTAACCATAAAGGCTGCTGTGTAATTTGCTCCCTGACTAAGCATTTAAAGAATTTAGGGAAACATTTAAATAATCCTGGGAATGCACTTAAAGAATGTAGAATCGTTAATCGAATCAAATTGAATTTAATTGTGAATCGAATCGGATTGAATCGTTCTGAATTTGCAAAAACCTTTCTTTAATCAAATCGAAAACCTATGAATCGTGAATCTAATCGAATTGCTGTCTACCCAAAGATTCACAGCCCTAATTGGGACAAATCCTAAATGTAATAACTGCGGAAAAAGCATTAAATAATTAGAACAACAGCTAAATTAAATAATTTGGTTGATATCTAAATTAAATAATTAATCCAAGTTAAATTAGGAAAATAGCTGAATTAAATAATTGCAAGTTAATTTCCAATAAATGAAATAAACAATGTCATATTTTATTGCATGAATAGAAATTTTACGTTAAAATAAAGTAATATGGTACAAAAATTAAAGGCAGCAGCTATTTGGACTGTCTAAATACCAATAGAAGCTATTAAGTGCAAACAGAAATAGATGCTATTTACACCGTTAAAATTGCAGGATTTTCTGCTATTTATACTACTTATTGCAAATAGTGGCAATTATCTGCACCTCAGTATTGTAGTAAATTATTAAATAATTGTATGCAATAATTGCCACGCCCTTGGACTGCCCCTGTGCTCCTGCCTTGTGTTTTGCTCCCCATGTTCTCCCTGTGACCCAGTTTCTCCCGTGTTTGATTGTTTCCATTTGGTTCAGGTGTGTCTTAGTAATTACCTTGTTGATTTCCTGTTTCTTAAGCCCTGTGTTTTCCTGTGTTCTGCGTTCAGTGTTAAATTCCAATTCCCCGTGCTATGTGTGTGTTCCTTCCTTGTAGTTCAATAAAGTCTGTTCATCGTGAAATTCTCCCACGTCTCCGCGTCTCCTCGCTCCAACACCGTAGCAGATCGTGACAGAACACCAAACCGAACAGTAAGCGGCGCCCCTTCTCCCCGTTTTTGAAAGTTTTTCTTTTCCCATTCCCTGTGTGATCATGGAAACCGCCGCAAGATTTGCTGCCCTAGCCCGCAAGGATCTCCCATTTGTAGAATTCACCCGGGAATTCTGTGGGCTCGCTGTGATGACGGCGTTGGATGACGCCATGCTTAATTCGTTGTTCTGGATCGGGGCCAATTACCATCGCCCCGTGGACCTCCCAGACACCACTGGACTGAGCAGGTATCCTCTGGTGTCTGGTGAGCGTCCGGCCCCGATCCAGAACCAGCTCAGCGTCAAGCCTGCCGGTCATTGCATTGTCAGGTCCGTTGGCCATTCCAATGTCAGGCCCGCTGGCCGATTCACTTCCAAGCCCTAGGATGACAGCAGTATTCTCCTTCACCTCTGCCCAAAAGAGGAGAATGTGGAGGAAGAGACTGTGGGCTCCAGCCCCTGAGTCTGCTCCAGTGTTGGCTCCAACCATTTTATTTTATGAAAATGAGATAAAGAAGTTTTCGCACTAATCTGAAAGAGAAGTGATCTCGCGCTCAAAGAACTTAAGACGTCCCAGGAAATGCCTAATATGAACAAAGACATTTATGGCTGCAGCAAAGCTGAATAAAAAGCAGAATGAACTGAAACGTTAAGACAATAAACACAATAAATAAATAAAATGTATGAATGATGCAGTGCTAATTGACATATCATTTATTACAGTACAGAAACTACAAAGTATATTTTCTACCTTATTCTGTGCAGAAAATTGAAATAATTGTTTGTAGTATATAAAACAATCATAAAATTGCCATTAGGAAAAAATTATAGATTACAAATGATTGATTATTGTCCAGAAGTGTATTTGATTTATTATAGCAAATTCAAAGTAAGAGAGAAGAAAATAATTCCTTGTAAAAAAAAAATAAAATAAAATAATAATACATACATAAATACAATTATTGTATTTGACATTTCTGTCACTTCTGAAATGATGGCTACGCCCCTGGTGTGACAAAATGTTAGCCTATACATAATACTTTTAAAGCTCGTTAAAATCTTGGCTTATATAAATTTCTAAATATGCCATAGCATCATTAAACTAGCATCTAACAATGGACAAAAGTGTTTTTTTTCTCTAATCTATGGTTCTGTAACCATAAAGGCTGCTGTGTAATTTGCTCCCTGACTAAGCATTTAAAGAATTTAGGGAAGCATTTAAATAATCCTGGGAATGCACTTAAAGAATGTAGAATCGTTAATCGAATCAAATTGAATTTAATTGTGAATCGAATCGGATTGAATCGTTCTGAATTTGCAAAAATCTTTCTTTAATCAAATCGAAAACCTATGAATCGTGAATCTAATCGAATTGCTGTCTACCCAAAGATTCACAGCCCTAATTGGGACAAATCCTAAATGTAATAACTGCGGAAAAAGCTAAATTAAATAATTAGAACAACAGCTAAATTAAATAATTTGGTTGATATCTAAATTAAATAATTAATCCAAGTTAAATTAGGAAAATAGCTGAATTAAATAATTGCAAGTTAATTTCCAATAAATGAAATAAACAATGTCATATTTTATTGCATGAATAGAAATTTACGTTAAAATAAAGTAATATGGTACAAAAATTAAAGGCAGCAGCTATTTGGACTGTCTAAATACCAATAGAAGCTATTAAGTGCAAACAGAAATAGATGCTATTTACACCAAGTTAAAATAGCAGGATTTTCTGCTATTTATACTACTTATTGCAAATAGTGGCAATTATCTGCACCTCAGTATTGTAGTAAATTATTAAATAATTGTATGCAATAATTGCCACGCCCTTGGACTGCCCCTGTGCTCCTGCCTTGTGTTTTGCTCCCCATGTTCTCCCTGTGACCCAGTTTCTCCCGTGTTTGATTGTTTCCATTTGGTTCAGGTGTGACTTAATAATTACCTTGTTGATTTCCTGTTTCTTAAGCCCTGTGTTTTCCTGTGTTCTGCGTTCGGTGTTAAATTCCAATTCCCCGTGCTATGTGTGTGTTCCTTCCTTGTAGTTCAATAAAGTCTGTTCATCGTGAAATTCTCCCACGTCTCCGCGTCTCCTCGCTCCAACACAGTAGCAGATCGTGACAGAACACCAAACCGAACCTGTGTGATCATGGAAACCGCCGCGAGATTTGCTGCCCTAGCCCGCAAGGATCTCCCATTTGTAGAATTCACCCGGGAATTCTGTGGGCTCGCTGTGATGACGGCGTTGGATGACGCCATGCTTAATTCGTTGTTCTGGATCGGGGCCAATTACCATCGCCCCGTGGACCTCCCAGACACCACTGGACTGAGCAGGTATCCTCTGGTGTCTGGTGAGCGTCCGGCCCCGATCCAGAACCAGCTCAGCGTCAAGCCTGCCGGTCATTGCATTGTCAGGTCCGTTGGCCATTCCAATGTCAGGCCCGCTGGCCGATTCACTTCCAAGCCCTAGGATGACAGCAGTATTCTCCTTCACCTCTGCCGAAAAGAGGAGAATGTGGAGGAAGAGACTGTGGGCTCCAGCCCCTGAGTCTGCTCCAGTGTTGGCTCCAACCCCTGAGTCCGCTCCAGTGTGGGCTCCAGCTCCTGAGTTTAGCACAGAGAGGGCTCCAGTTCCCAAGTCAAGCCCAGAAAAGGACTCTGTTCCCAAGTTAAGCCCAGAGAGGGCTCCTGCACCTATGCCCAGCCCAGAGAGGGCTCCTGTTCCCACGTCCAGCCCAGAGGGGGCTCCTATTCCCAAGTTAAGCACAGAGAGGGCTCCTGCACCTATGCCCAGCCCAGAGAGGGCTCCTGTTCACACGTCCAGCCCAGAAAGGGTTCCTGTTCCCAAGTCCAGCCCAGTGAGGGGTCCTGTTCCCATGTGTTTAGCCCAGAGAGGTCTCCAGTTCCCAAGTCAAGCCCAGAAAAAGACTCTATTCCCAAGTTAAGCCCAGAGAGGGCTCCTGTTCCCACGCCCAGCCCAGAGGGGGCTCCTATATCCAAGTTAAGCACAGAGAGGGCTCCTGTTCACACGTCCAGCCCCGAGAAGGCTCCTGTTCCCAAGTTAAGCCCAGAGAGGGCTCCTGTTTCCACGTCCAGCCCAGAGAGGGCTCCTGTTCCCAAGTCCAGCCCAGAGAGGTCTCCTGTCCCCAAGCTAAGTCCAGAGAGTGCTCTTGTTCCCACGTCCAGCCCAGAGAGGGCTCCGCCATGGCTCCCATAGTCTACCTGCTCTGCCATGGCCCCTTGATCTACCCACTCCGCCATGGCTCCCTGAACTGCCTGATCCGCCATGGGTCCCAGAACGGGTACCGCTCTGGAGGCCTACTGAGGCGCCCCCAGCCCCCCCCCCCCCCCCTCCCCGTTGGATGTTATGAGGCGCATGGATGCGCCTTCCGGGATGGGGAGGTATTGTCACGCCCTTGGACTGCCCCTGTGTCCTGTCTCAATAAAGTCTGTTCATTGTGAAATTCTCCCACGTCTCCGCGTTTCCTCGCTCCAACACAGTAGCAGATCGTGACCATAATAACGTATTGAGTGTAAATTATAGTTTTAATTCAAATTGTTGAATGGATGCCACCTCATTGGGAAAATAAAGCTCTTAAAAAATTTTTTTTTTTATGTAAATAGACACTCCAAAAAATAAAATATGTTGACGTTAGGAATATTTGGACATGTTTTTTTTTTCACAAAGAAAATGTTTCCCATTAAATGTACACTCCCCAAAATCTTGAAGGGACCTCCACCAATCAGAAAACAGAAATAGGAAGAGCAGAAACTTATTCAGCACCTTGAGTTCCTGAAGTATATTCCCCAGTTTTTTCCCCACTGTTTTTAATTCAAAAAAGAAAAAAAAAAAAGTTTTTTAATAAAAAAAAACTTCAATCAGTCAAAAGTCAAAGGTACAACACTGATTCATGTCATACTTCCGGGCCCACCAGAAAACTGAAATTTAATAACATATATGTTTTTACATGTTCAGTGGTGCTAATTGTAAATTGTTTCTACTTTTATTGCAGGACAAGTCTAGAAGAGCAGCGCTGTATCTAAGAGGGCATTTCCCCCGACTGACGAGGCCATACACAGCAGCTATAACATGCTACGCTTTAGCAGTATCCAACCACGGCTGCATGAAGAGCATGTTACTAAATTTAGCCTCGCCTGGTACTTAGCCTTTGAAAACAAAAAAACATCTTGCTGCATGTGCTCTTGTTTTTCTAATCTTTATTTTCTATCAACAGATCGTACCCACTGGCCTGACTCTAGTAATTATTTCTTCACGCTGGAAGCTACTGGCTATGCGTTGTTAGCGCTGATCAAAGGTGGCCACATGGAAGAGGCAGCCGCCCCCTTTCGATGGCTTAACGAGAAGCGTGGCATTGGGGGAGGATACGGCTCTACACAGGTAAGAAACACAAGAAAACCTTTGCTAATTGTCTTATTCTTGTATTTGAGGTACATTTGTATTCATATAATGGCTGTTTTTCCCCCATCAGTCCACTATGGTGGTGCTACAGGCCCTGTCTGAGTACCTGGTGAAGAGGCCTCCTCCTCATGACCTCAATCTGTTGGTGCAGCTCAGTGTTCCCGGTCGCAGTGACGTACGCTGGACCTTCAATCCAAAAGTGGCATATGTGGCCCGATCTTCACGGGTGTGATCTCCAGTCTTTCAAAACTTTCTTTTGTAGACAAATATGGCAATATACTGCCAAATGTTAAAAATGCATTATTGTGATGCAAAATTACTGTCATGTAATATATGAGTCCGAATTTCCTTCACTCTTTCATGAAACTGGACATTTGTTCTTAAATATACAGAGCTCTTTTATGGAATTATCTGGGTCAGATAGTGTGTGTCAACCAATCAGAATAGGCTTCCACGACTGACAAATGCTACATGAAAACGTATTGGTTAAGAGTGAAGATGAATAGAGAGCTGCAGTGATTCTTTGTAGACCAGAAGTCACATCTCTCTGCTTCTCTTTGACTTTTGAATTATGGAAGAAAATGGCTCTTTGATTCTTACACTTTTTGTCACATCATGATAACCTTTACAAATGAACACAGCTTTTATGACTTGTGAAATCTAAGTACAGTCGCCAGACGTAAAAAGTGACTCCATGATCACAACATCAATGTCACCAACATTAATCTTCAGCAACTCTTTCAGTCTTTATTTAGTTGGTATGATTCTTTAGGGTCTTCACTCTTCACGAAATGTCTGCAACATACTTTAGTTAAAATTCCTTAGTGGTCATGTATAGGGATGTAACGATTCACTCAACTCACGATTCGATTAAATTCACGGTTTTGATTTCACAATTCGATTTTCTCACGATTTTTTTTTACAAAATGAGCATGCAGCATGTGCAGTTTTTAATCTAAATTAGACTGTATGATTTCCGAATTTGAAGCAAAAACAGAATGGTCTGACTTTAGTTTTGTGAAACTATAAATAAAACATATCTGAACGAAACAGCAGACGAGCTGAATGAGACGCATATTCACTCTCTGACAGCAGGTGGCATTTATGAACAGCAATGATACAGTGTTTTTTTTGTCCCTCGTTCAGAAAGTTTTTTGTTCAAGTTTTTTGTCCAAATTGTCCCTCGTTCAGAAAGCAGTCTGGAGTCAAATATTTTTTTTAGACATAAACAAATGTAGGTGTATTCGGTGGCGCATTTCTCTCAAAAACAAAACGAATCCACTGCGTCCTCAGTGGCTGGGTTGCCGCTGTAAACAAAGCAGAGCTGCGCTTATGAACACTACTTTTATATGCATCATTGAGAGGCAAGATCACGTAATACCACGTAAACCTTTTAAAGATAGTCAGTTCCCCTCAGAGATACATTCATATAAAATCCTACTCCAATTGTATCGCGATTTATTTGGCATCTCAACCGATTTGAATCGTGACATATTTGAATCGATTTTCAAACTGCTCACAGCTAATCGTTACATCCCTAGTCATGTAAAACAACACCCTTTTTACCTTGTCAAAAATAGCTCTTTTCACAGTGACCCGTTTCGGTGCATGTCTCTTTAAATGCTAATGAACTCTGTTCACCCTGCCCCTCTCTTCCGTGGAAGAGGAACGACGATTTGCAAATAATCATTAAAAATATAAAGTGTGAGACTTACTTCTTCTGGAGTTGCAGCTGGATCATGAACAATGGGTATTGATCCATCCTTGATCCAAATTGTCCCTCGTTCAGAAAGCAGTCTGGAGTCAAATATTTTTTTAGACATAAACAAATGTAGGTGTATTCGGTGGCGCATTTCCCTCAAAAACAAAACGAATCCACTGCGTCCTCAGTGGCTTTGATGTTGGGAGAAAATGAAGACTCTTATGTTCACTTTTACGTCCAACTACAAAACACCTGCATTGCTTAGGAGACATTGTTGTCGCTGCAACTGCTCAAGCGCAGAGAAAATGGAGGACAGTGTGCAACTGGCTGTGGGCAGAAATATGCTAATACGGTACAGTCTGTCAGAGGTCGTGGGCGGGGCCTGAGCAATATGATGTCACACTGCTCAGGAAATCAGAACGGCTTGATTATTGAGACTGTGTTTAGGTGTTTTGGGGATTAAAAAAAGTAGTGAATGGATTTTTTATCATTGTAGGGTGGTTGTGTCCACACACTGCTAAGACACATTTAAATGCAAACACCATGTAAAAGTTAATTTTGCATTCAATGTCCCCTTTACTGTAAAACAATTTCCTGAAAGTTTGAGTTAGAATAGTTTGCAAAAGTGTGATTATAAACACCGTTTAATGTCCAGAAAACCTCTTTAGTCTAACTTAGCCACTTGTTAGCAACTGCCTTTTTCAAAACAATGAAAAACAAAACATAACTGGTGTACTATTTATGTATTTAATGTTGTAAAGCAAGAACGAAGGAACATGTGAGCTGAGAGATTCATGCTGATTTTACATGGATGTATTGTTGCATTACAGAAATGCACTTTTGGCATTTGGCAGTATAATAATGCTAGATTAAAAGAAAGGAAGTTTGGAGTGAAATACAGTAACTCAATATTATTATCTCTTCCAGGTGCCTCTTGACCAGAAATTCAGAGTGGAGGCTTCTGGGAAGGGCAAGGGAGTTTTGGAGGTGCTACATGCCCACATCTACATCAAAGTATTGAATTAGAATATAAAATCAAGATGTAATTTAGTTACAAAACTTTCTCTGTCGCATTTTATGAATCCCAGGTAGTGACAGTGTACCACCAGCTTCCTGATGTGTATGAGAACAGCACATGTAACGGCTTTCAGCTGGACGTCTCCATCGCTGAGACTAATGGTGCGTTCTCAACTCTGTTTTATGTGTTTAAACAGTAAAAGACTGTAAAAATGCTACGGTAAAATCCTTACTCTATACAGTAGAAACTTTATGTATTGGGACATGTACATGTAATTTTACAGTATCACTCTTTGATTCATTTAGAAAAACCCCCACCGGATGTAGAAAAGTCATACAGACTTAGTATCAACGTGAAGTAAGCAGTTATAGGTAGATTTTTAATCTATAAATTTTAATTTAATAAACTGGTTCGGTACCCATAATTCACTGCTTTGCACCCCCAAGGGCTCTAGAGGGACGCCAAGTAAGGATGGCAATTCTGGACATCAGCCTGCCCACCGGCTTTGAGCCTGAAAACGCCGATTTAGAGTTGGTAAGACCAATCTCATGACATATTGTGGCACTACATTAGTGGTAGCAGCTAATTCTGTAGCTAACTGTTTTGTAGCCTACCTGGACAGCATTTTAAGGCATACAGGTCCACTCCAAACATCTAATTTTAGGTTTAATTTTGGCCAGATTAAGCAGCATTGCATGTATCTGTCATGGAGAATTTCCATAATGCATTGCGACAAGCTACTTCCAAGATGGTGTAAATTGAGAAAAAAGTTGATTATAATGTTGATCATAAATATTATAATGCATGTTTCGTGTTTCATTACCTGTGGACTTTTCTACCCAACATTTTTTGTGCTTTGTATTTTTATGTTGTGTATTGCACTTTTAGCTTAGCAACATGCTAACATCTAACTCTATTGAAATCATCTGAGAGTCAAGTCTATTTGTGTGGTGCACAGAATTGCTGACTATAAAGAGTGCTTCAAATCTGTCACCTTGACAGTTAGGAGGCTTACTATGTAGGCAGCTGCCTACATAAATAGTATGAAGCAAGGCATCTTGTTATAGAAGTGATAATGTCTAGTGTGATTTTCTAGCTCACAAATTCGGTGGATCGCTACATCAACAACTTCCAAGTGGTGGACAACCTGAGCGACAGAGGATCCCTCATAATTCACCTGTTTAAGGTAACCTAACAACCAATGTTATAGCTTATACAGGATGTATATTAAGGCACCATTGAATATTTGACTTTGTCTGAATGTCCCGGACAGGTGTCCAGTACTCAGACAGACGTGATCTCATTCAGACTGCATCAAAAATTTAAAGTGGGACTCCTTCAGCCTTCTACTGTCACAGTGTACCAGTACTACAACAAAGGTTAGTACACGTTTAATTAGCTATGTTTGCTAAAGTGCACAGCTAACCTAAACCCTTAAGCATAATACCTTGGTGTTTAACTCACCTCACACTGTTTCTGCTATAGGCATGAATAGCGCAAATAATGCAGAGAAGCATGCAGTTATTTTTCTGAGCAACTAAACATGCTATTAATTGCATAGAAATGCACAAGCAAACATTCACAACAGCGTCATTAGCATTAAAAATCATTAACGTGATTTACTATACTTAAGGGCAGTGTGAACTGGGTGCGTGGAGGCATGCGAATACATACATTGACAGGCAGGTAGGACAGCCTACCATAATCCTTGGACCGAGGGATATGATTGGACGAACAATTTTTGTTCCTACACCTTCCACAGATGATATAAATACTCATAAATACATTTAGAGCACTTAACTTAGTGATTGCTAACAGGATGTGAAGAGACTCTCAACCAGCATAACAAAAAATGTTTTTGAACTAAATCACCTACCCTGCCTTTAACATAACGTGATAGATTCTGTGAGGTGAAGACATTTTAAAGAGTTTAATTTTTTCTTTCTCTTTGGAGTGTTACAAGCTCTTGGTGCATAAATAAGGTCTGTAAAGTTGCAAAGACTAAAGTCTCAAATCCAAAGAGATATTCTTTATAAAATTTAAGAGTCAACCATGCCTACCTAAAACGGCTCGCTCTAACACGCCCCCACATGTCTACGTCACTATGTGGGAAGATTTGCATAACGCCGCCCAAATGTTCACGCAAAAGAAAGAAGGCATAACTTTTATTCTGGCTGTAGTATTGTTGTTGCCGCCGCCGCCATGTCGTGAAGACGCTGTGTGTTTGTGTTCTGTGTGTTTCATTGTGAAAGCGAAACTACCGTATTGGCCCGAATATAAGACAACCCTGATTATAAGACGACCCCCCTTTTTCCAGATGTACCTTTTGGAAAAAGGCTTTTTAAAAACCAAATCTTGTTTTTTCTCAGTAAAACACATTTTGTCTTCAATTATTTTCATATTGCATATTTTTCCTATTTTAATTTTTGTTTTGAAAGTGGTAAAACAAAAATGGTAAAAACTGGTAAAATGTACCAACAATCACATTTAAAAAA